AGATGCTTGCGTTATGAGAAACGTCATAACCTTGCTGTTGGCACCCTCCTGCTAGACATAAAAGATTCAACATGCTGTCATTCTGAAGACTGCATTCAAGAGGTGGCTTAAAAGCAACGATCCTTCAACTCGAATGCTGTGCGAAGAATAGCGCAGCGAAATCTGTGGACAAAGCAAATGTTGATTCCGCAACATTCTTCGGTAAAGTGCTGGTATCTCCACAAGAGGAACAAGGTATTCTGGCCTCCGTCTAACAGTCCTAAAGGATAAATCTGAAGACGTCTTCTTATCAAGGAAGGAGATTTACTTCGGTGATTGCGGAATTACTTTGAGGAATTCCTTAACACTGAACAACCGCAGAAAGACTGTCCTGAAGAGTAGAAGAGAACAAATACTACGTCTTGGGTAGATGAAGCTTTAGGCAAACAATGTAGGTTGTGGATGACAGATGTCTCGCAAGTCAACAAATGGCTGGATTACTGCAGTACTTATTTCTCTGTTCAAGAATAGAGACCACAAGGACTGTTCCAATCAGCAGCGCATTAGGCCAAAAGCCTCCCTGGAAAAAATCTACTTAGACGCGTTGGAAAAGATGTTCCGCGGAATATTTGACTCCAAGAGTGGCGGTGTTGCTTCATGCCGTGCCGTAGCAACTATGCACAGACTCTGTGCCAGATTGTTGAGAATTCGTGGAAATTCGCGCATTCGGTCTACATGTGCTTTGTCGTTATGGAGAAAGTCTATGATCAGACACAGCGCAAAATGCTGTGGATGAGCCTGCAAAAATATGGGATAAATTTTAAATGTTGCGATCCTTCAAGTCACCCAATGTTGATAGAAGGCGCTGTCAAAGTAAATGGCGTTAAATCTGAACCTTTCAGCGTTGGCATTGGTCTCCACCAGGCCTGCGTACTGTTCCCTCTCCTGTTCGTGTTATACATGGATAGAACAGACAAGCGCAACCAATGCAATGAGTGCATCAGCGTAGGATATTTAGAGACGAGAACACGTTGCTTACAGACGACTTTGTATTGTTGTAATCC